CGCGCGTTGCGGCCTGGGCCAGAGCGGCTGCCTTCTCCAATGGGGGCAACGCGAGGGCGCGAGGGTACGAAGAGGACCGAGCGTCGCGCATCGCGAGGCGCGATGCGCGAAGTCATGTGACCTGGGAGAGCCAACCCTTTACCCGGAGACCTGATCCGGGCGTTTGGGAGGCCGCCCGGGGCTTCTTGGGGCCTCCTTGGGGGCCTGCTGGCGAAGTCGGAGTTCATTCCTGGGAGTGCAGTTCGAGCTCCCCCTCTTGGGGTCCTCGGGGCCACCCTGGGCAGTCCCTTTTTGTCCCCCCGACGCTCCCTCTGCCGCGCGGGGAGCCGCGATATGCAGACCCTGGTCGGCGCCGTGAGGGCCCGGCGCAAGATGGGCGGCGGGCTCGTCTTCGCAACGGTCGAGGAGGCACCGCGCTCAGGGGCGGGGCCCCTCACGTCCCTCTTCCTCCGACTGCACGTGGGGTCGGAAACCTTAGCTTAGCGTATCCCGCCGCCAGTTTTGCCCACCACGCATCGGTATAGTTATATTTATATATATATATATAGAGAGAGAGTGAATGGTATATATATATATATATATGTATATATGTGTATCTGTATATATAAATACACATGTATAAGGGGTGATGGACCGATAGGTAGCGAGACTGGGAACCAGTGTGGTCGATATATGTGTACGTTCTGTGGTCGCGTATTTCCATGTGTACATATATGTGGAAATATGGATGTATATGTATAAAAGCTTGGCAGTGGTGCCGGTAGTTCGTCAAATTGCTAGGTAGTGAGACCGATATATATATATATATATATATATATATATATATATATATCTATATATATACACACATATTGCAATATCGCTAGGTATGCAGATGCGGATTCAACCTTGCGCGCCAATCGCAACCCTCCTTAACACACGAATGGTGGCCGTATATACTATAGAGGACAACAAGGGGAAGGGAGAGAGAGAGAGGGATATCAACACACACAACATGCTAGTATCCGTAAGGGCTTCGCCCCCATGCCGCCGGCTCTCTCTCTTAGAATGGGACTTGCCAGAGCTGCGTTGGGATGTTTGGACGCCGACGTGAAGCAATGTCGGGACTTCACGCGAGGGCCAATATTAGATTGACAAGGTGTATGGCTTTCGTGGCGCGAATATGAAGTCATGTGCAAAGGTTTATGGCTTCGGGGACGCGAGTATTGATTGACTTGCGAGGGATTTTGGCCTCGGGGACGCACATATTGTGTAATGTACCAGGGTTTTGGCTTCGGGGCCGCAAATATTGTATAATTTACGAAAAGGTGTATGTCCTCCGGGACGCGAATATTTTGTAATTTGCAAGGGTTTGTGGCTTTTGGGACGCAAGTATGGTGTATTGTTATAGGGCTTATGGCCATGGGGACACGCATATTGCATAGTTTTGAAGGTTTTTGACTTCGGTTGCGCGAGAATTCTGTAATTTACGTGGGTGTATGGTTTCAGGGGCGCGACTATGGTTTAAATTACAAAGGGTTTATGGCTTCGGGGATGCGGATATTGTGTAATTTACGAGGGGTATGGCTTCGGGACGCGAACATTGAGTGTATAATTTTCTATGGTGTATGGCCTCGGGGGCGCGAATCTTGTTAATCTACTGGGGATCATGGCTTCGTGGATGCGAATCCCATGTATTTTTACATGTCCCACGCCCCCCCAGGAATTCAGACAACGCGATCTGGGCGTGGTAAAAAAAGTTGGTTTGGGGCTCCCCCCCCTCGCGCGTTCAGCAACAATTAACAGTAAGGAAGCAGAAAACAGGACTGTAACAGTGGAAACTGGAAACTGCAACTGGAACAGGGAGCTGCAACCCTCACCCTCGCAGCCTGGGTGGCCCCGCAAGGAGGCCGGTGGATTCAAACAAAGTAAAACAGATGCGCAGGAGTTGGAGGCGGGCTCGGCATTATCGGACGGGTGGTCGGCGTCGCGGTTTGCATGCTTGCCGCTGGTCAGGAGTCTTTGCCCTCAGTTTCGCCAGCATGGCGGAAACGGGTACTGGACGTTTTCGCCAGTTTCGGGCTCTCGTCAGAGGAGGAAGCAATACCGAGGCAGAGCCCGTGCAGCCACGACAGTATTATCCCCGAAGTTCTGGTCAGAACGCAACCCAGGAAAAGTCCGAGGAGTACCGCCTCGTTCCCCCATTCCGGGGCCGTTCCTGGACAGCCTCGACGTCATGAAACGACTCGGGGTGGAACGTTGGCCCCAGAGAAATACCCGCGGTCCAGGACTCGCTTCCGTCGGGCACCCCATTAGCCATTCGGGCTGGCTCAAGCCGTGTCAGGCGCTGCTCATGGTCAGGGCCCCGCTCGCATCATTCCCGCGCGTGCACGTGTGCCAGCGATCGGGTTGTCCAAGAGGACGGAGGCGGCGGCAATTTGACAGAACAAGTTTGTTCGCTTAATGCGCGATTGTTTTTCTTCTGCGGAGTTCCGTCGGGGATTGCAGATTCTGGCCGCAGGAAACCCAGAGGAGTGGTGGGACTTCCAGGACATCGAACACCCCGTTGGCAACCTCAATGCAGCCTTGCTGGAGGCAGTCAGTGCGCAGTGTCCTCATCTTCCTCGACACAGCCTGGATATTGTTTGTTTTGGCACCGTACACCTCCAGACTGACGACGTCGAGCTGGAGGAACTATTTCGCAACTTCTCCTCCATCTGCAGTCGCTTGGCCTCCCGGGCGGCCCAAGAGTGGGCCGACTTCCCAGTGACGGGGGATTTCGGCGTTAACATTCGCGCAATCGGCCGAGCCGAGAAGAGGCTGGTAGTGTGTGCGGCTCGGCTGCTGCTGCAGCACAGCGGACAGGATGATGCCGGCCACCTGGAGGCTGCGGCGCGGGCAGTGGAGCGAAACGCCGCGGCCACGAAGGCGTTGCGCCAGCTGATGCGGCCACAGTTCAGAGGGGACGGATGTCTTGCGGGCGAGGGGTCGGAAGGCTCCTGGTCCTGGCGAGCTTCACGCTTCACTCTGGCGTGTGCAGCCGTGTCCACTGTGGCATGCATTGGAGTCTTACTACGGACGAGAGCGGGGTCGTGGAGGCGCGTCGGAAGCTGAAGAGTTTCCGGCGTCGATGCCGTCATGCTTGCCAGTGGCCAATGGATGGGCACGATTGGCAGACGATGGTCTTATTGTGCGTTTAGGCCAGCGCATGCCAGGCCACGGTGCATGCGAGCGTTGTGACCTGTCAGAGCTCTTAACAGAAGTATATTTGGCAAGCATACTCTGTTGCTCTCCTAGTCGGAGGGCCAAGTATACACCTACACCGATCTTGGTGATCAATCCGAATTTCAGGATTGGTGCGCACGCCTTCGTGGCCGAACCAGGAGGGTATATACACCGATCCTGAATCTATGATCTTCCTGGCCAGAATTTGTGTAGGTGTACAGTTGGCGCACGTCTACCCGGGGCGGGCCAGGCGGATGGACAGAGACAGATTGTAGCAACAGTTGGAGTTGCACGGGTGGATTTTCAGAGCCGCTTCGCAGCAGTACGGAACGACAGTACAGGGGAAGGGAGAAAATAGCACGTGCGCACACACAGACACACTTTTAATTTAGCGGCGCAGAGGGCCCTCAAGCGCGAGCAGCAGAAGGAACCACTAATTGCGATCGAGCGTTGTCGAACGCACAATGTATGAAGTGTCGCACACTGTGAGTGCAGGCGCGGGGTGTGTGCTAGAGGAACTGTAAGGTAAACGACACACGCACACATACGCATGCTCGCACACATACGCACGCTCGCACACATACACACGCACACATGCACACTCACACACACACACACGCGCACACACACACGCGCAAGGTAAATTTTTGAACTTCGCGGCCACGCGCGCGGCGGCGCGGCGTAGGGCAAGTCAACGGAGAGAAGCGCGCGAACCGGGCCAGCTCATGCAAGGTGGACAAGTGGGATCCGCGCACAGGGGATCAAACAGCAGCATTCGCAAGGTGGCAGTCCCGAGGGGAACGCGGACAGGGGAAAGAGGTGGGAACGACAGGGGAATCGAAGGATTGGGAGCAGTGCTACGGTGACGGGCGGAGGCAGTGGGGTCGCAGTGGGGTCGGGCGCAGCTGCGTGCGACCAAGGGGACGAGCCAAGACATCTCGAGGGCAGGCCGAGGCGGCAGGCAGCCCGCACACGCACGCACGCACACATGTTTAGGTCGGCGGCGCAGGGGTTCCTCAGGCGCGAGCAGAAAATGGAGGTGCTAATTGCGACCGAGAGTTTTCGATGGCACCATGTACGAAGCGTCGCGCACTGTAAGTGCAGTCGATGGGTGTGTCACAGACGAGCTGTAAGTCCGAACGAGACATGCAGCTGCCAGAAAACGAGGAGGATCTTCGATTCAAAGTGATCTGACACACGTACACACGCACACATGTACACACACACACACACACTTCGGGCCTGTAGCGACCTCGCGCGCGGCGACGAGGCGGGCTAAGTCCACGCGGCGGAGCGGGCGCGCGGTACCTGGAACTCAAGCGGGATGGCTTTGGATCGCCGCGCTAGCCGCAAACACACACACACACACACACACACACACACACACACACACGCCCACGCCCACACACACACACACACACACACACACACACGTACATGCGCGCTCCTGATTCTGCAGTCTGCAGGTGGGTCGCCTTGAAGTTGTCCGCTCTTATGGCCAGCAGCTGCAAAATCAGTGGATTCGTCGTCAGAGCGGGATGTGAGAACATGGAGAGCCGGTCCATAGTCCATAGTGTCGCAAGATGGGGTGTGGGGTCGCTCGACGGTCACCGTCACCGGAGCCCGTTTGGTTTTGCATGGGGTGGAATGCAAGCTGGGTGTCGAAGCAAATGGGCAGTGATACAACACTATGGGCTGTAGTGCCGCACAGCGCACAAAAGCTAGCAGGCGCCCCTGGGCGGAGAGCAGGAGGCTGAGGAGGAGGACCAGGAGGCAGAGGAGGCGGAGGAGGCGGAGGCTGAGGAGGAGGAAAAGAAGGAGGAGCAGAAGGAGGAGCATGGAGAGGAATAGGAAGAGGCCAGGAGCAGGTGGAAGAGCGGGACGAGCAAACAGCAGCAGGAGGAGGAGCGGGAGGAGCGGTCGAGAAGGCCTCAGGCCCTAGGGCGTGACCCGCTCGGCTACCTCCAACCTCAACCTCCGAGGATTTCCGACTGCCCTCCAACGCACCCCCCGTTCATGATAATGTTCGTCGCGCCATCCAACGCACCTCACCTCTCCAAGACGGTCCCTTCGTCTTCCACCATGCGCCGCCCCCAAAATGTCTCGAGCAAGATAAGGTCGTCGAAAGTCCCCCTCAGCTCGCAGGTCGAGGACGGCACCGTGAAGTCCGTGGAGGCACGGCGGGTTCAGTTGGTCTTCCTTCCGGAGACGTGGGGCGGCGCTCTGGCTGGGGTCTTGGGCCTGGTGCGGCGCCTTGGCCTTGCATGCTGGGAGGGCTCTGAGCAGGATGCAGTCGAGGAGCAGAAGGAGCGGTCGTGATGAGGAGGAGGGCGAGCATAGTGAGGGTGATGGCGAGGAAGATGAAGGATGTGGGGCCTAATTATTTACGGAGGAGGAGGAGGAGGAGGAGGAGGAGGAGGAGGAGGAGGAGGAGGAGGAGGAGGAGGAGGAGGAGGAGGAGGAGGACAGGGAGGAGGACAGGGAGGAGGAGGAGCCCAGGGAGGACGGGGTGTGCGAGGAGTAGCGTGAGGGATGGGGAGGAGGAGGAGGAGGAGGAGGAGGAGGAGGAGGAGGAGGAGGAGGAGGAGGAAAGGAGGACGACGAATGGCAAGCACGGAGGTGAGATCCTGGCAAATGTTACTAACGTAGGGCAGTTTCGTATCTGCCCGTCCCCTCTCGCGTTTCCTCCTCATCCTCTTCCGGGCGGTTGTCTCAGTACGAGTTGTTTGTGAAGTTGGCGCCGCTTAGAGCTTGGAGTCGTACTTGTGGACAGAATTCTCTCTGTTGCTTGAGTTGAAAAGAAATGGATTGCGAACACGCTATGAATCTGGACGTAAAGGAAGAGGAGGAGTATGAGGGTAAGAAAGAGCCACAATAGCAGGACGAGGGCCAGGATTGAGGACAAGAACAGAGATGAGTACGATGATGATACTGATTATGATGATGATGATGATGATGATGATGATGATGATGATGATGATGATGATGATGATGCTGATGATGATGATGATGATGATGATGGTGATGATGATGTTTATGATGATGATGATGATGATGATGATGATGATGAGGATGATGAGGATGATGATGATAATGATGATGAGAGACCAGGACTAGGAGGAACAGGAGTCGGATAACGAGAAGGAGTGAGCAGGCGCAGGAGGATATTTCGATGGAGGAGGCGCAACATGACGAGGATCAGCAGCAGCAGCAGCACTAAGAGGAGGGGGGACGGGAAAGAGGACGACGACGACGAGGTATGATGAGTGGGCAGGACGAGGAATACGAGGACGTGGGGAAGGAGAAGGGCCACAGGAGGGTCAGTACATATTGCAGGTGCTGCGATGCAGGCTCTCCTCCCGCGTCCCCACTTCAGCAGGACATGTACAGGCTCCTTCGAGCACCTGCTGGAGGGTGATTCCTTCAGCCTCCACGCGAAAACAGCGGGCCAGAACATGTCCGGATCCTCTGACCTCGGGAGACGACCCCGAAGTGGTGGCGTTGGAAATTGGTCGACCTCTGACGTCGTGACCTTTAACGAATCGGACCTCCAGAGGTCTGGACATGATCGTTCTTGGACTGCCCTGGGGGGCTCGAGGGCCTCCAGAGAGGGCGAATATTCTCCGAAAGATCTCGCCGTGTTTTTGTCGCGACTCGAGGGGGTCTGGGAACACATATCGCAGTGGACCTCGGCCATGCAGCGGCCGGGTTGCCACGGGCTCCCCCCCTTTCCCTTGAAACCTGGTGCAGAGAGACCCTGCAATGGTGGGACCTCGAGGTTTCCTGAGCGTTCATTACCACTGCTTGGACGCAGTCTGCTATCGCGTTCATTTTCTCGCTTCGACGTGAAGAGCGATCGACTGCATTGAGTGCCTATTGCACTGAAAGTGGCGTTTGCGTCGGCATGCGCGAGCCAGTCGGCGAAGAATCGCGCCCATCCATCATCGCATTCTTTTTCGAACCTCGAGCCTCGAGCCTCGGAACGCAAGCCTCGAGCCTCGAGCCTCGAGGTCGAAGCCTCCTCGGCCGGCAGTGTCCCCTGCGGGGAGTGTGCCCGCGCCTCGCGCGCCAGCTGCGCGCCGCGCCCGGCCAGCAGCGAGCGAGGGCGAGAAACCTCCAGGAACATCGGACCTCGACGCAGGCGTTGCCTCAGGCCACTTCCCGTCGCGGGGACCGTTGGCGCTGGGGCCCACCCATGCGCGGCTCTGTCCGTGCGCACGGCAACCCGTGGACTCGGGCTCGACCTTGCACCCATGCGTGCTCACGTCGATGAGTCCTCTTCCTCTTACCCTTGGCCGGGGACGCCTTGCCGAGGTGCGCCCTGGCCTCCTCGCGCGCTTCGGCTACCGGGAGGACGGCCCTTGCGGCGACCTGGTGGCGCTGTCGGCGACTGGCTGCGCGTAAACCCAGACCTCCACTTGATCATCGCAGAATGCCGAACGCAGATTGAAACGCCAAGCTGTTTAGGGGAAAGCTACGATCTTGCGCCACATATGGGACCGTCAAGCACAGGGTGCAACGCTGCCCCCGGGGAAGGGGTCGGGACTTCTGGGGACCCCGTATTGAAACAAAACAAGTCATCGGACCTCTAGGTAAGCGAGAGGCCTTTCGCAAGAGTGAACATTGGTGCGGGTTCACAGGGAACCCCCCGCTCTGCTGGGATCGGCTCGGGGTTGCCAAGGGGACAAGGGGGTACCATTTGACGCCAAGGTCGGCTATATCTGGCCTGATCTAGCTTATCAGTGGGTAACAAGTGCTCCCATTGGCATAAGGGGGATCAACGATCCAGGCCAAGTAGGCTCCATCCACTTAGCAGAGCTATCTACAAGCTCATAAGCAATATGGTGCACGTTAATCCCACTTCAAATCCAGGTCCTGCCAAACATAACCCACTTCAAGATCCGCCTCCAACCCCCTTGTCCCCTCAGCACCCCCCCGCGGTGATCCAAGTTGTCTAGGTTCCCTCTTACGCGTAGACGAGGCGACGCCGCTGCGGCCCTGCGCCGAGCCGGCCGTGGTGCGCAGGGTGCTGGAGGCGCCCGCGGGTGCTAAATGAAATAGCGCACCCTGTGGCCTCCTGCTCCTCCTCCCTCCTTTGTTCCCCTGTTCTCCCCCTCCTCCTCCTCCTCCTCCTCCTCCTCCTCCTCCTCCTCCTCCTCCCCCTCCTCCTCCTCTTCCCTTGTTCTCCCTTTCCTCCTGCTCCTGCTCCACCCCCTCCGCTTCCTCCTCCACCTCCTCTTCCTATGATCATACCCATCATGTCCACCAGCTGATTCGCAATACCACCACCGTCATCATCATCATCATCATCATCATCATCATCATCATCATCATCATCGTCATCATCATCATCATCATCATCATCATCCTCATCCTCCTCCTCCTCATCATCTTTACCATCATCACCAACATCATTGTCATAATCAGCATCATCATCGTCATCATCATCATTATCGCCGTCATCATCATCACCATCCTCATCCTAATCATCGTAATCACCATCATCATTAGCGTTCGTTCTCATCATCAGTGTCATCATGCCATCATTCTCCACTTCCTCCTCATCCCCATCTTTTCAATCATCATCATAATCAGCATCACCATCCTTTATCATTATCATCATCATCATCATCAGTATCATCATCATCATGAGTATCATCATAATCATCATCACCATTACCGGCATAATTCTTATCATCGGCCCGGCAACACCATCATTTCCATCACCGTCACAATCATCATCATCAACATCATCATCGCCATCATCGTCATAACCATCATCATAGTCATCCCATTCTCCTCATCATGATCATCATCACCACCATCGCCATCACCGTCGTCATCAGCATCGTCACCATCGTCGTCGTCGTTGTCGTCGTCATCGTCGTCATCGTCATCGTCATTGTCATCGTCATCGTCTTATTCGTCTTTGTCATCTTCGTCACACCGCCATCATCATCATCATCATCATCATCATCATCATCATCATCATCATCATCATCAGCTGCTGCATCATCATCATCATCATCATTATCATGACCAGCATCATTACAATCATCATCGTCATCAGCATCATCATCATCATTGTTATCATTACCAGCATCATCAGCATCATCGGCACCACCATTACTGCCATCAGCACCGTCATCATCCTCACCACCACCACCATCATCATCATCATCATCATCATCATCATCATCCTCATCATCATCATCATCATCATCATCAACATCGTCATCGTCATCGTCATCATCATCATCATCATCATCATCATCATCATCATCATCATCATGAGCCCCACCGGCATCGCCATCCTCATCGTTGTCAGCAGCATCAGCCTTGCCATTCTACTCATTACCGTCATCCCTCCCTCCCCATCTCCCTATCTTCTCTTCCGCACTGCCACGACAGCAGTTCCTGACTCCCCAGGCGATCGCTGCGCGGCCCGAGGCCAGGCGCAATCCTGCACCGCTGCCGCCAATTCTCTCACGCGCTGGTCTCCGAGTGTTCCGCAAGTCCTCGCCCTTTGCACGCACGTGTTAGATGACGTTCTGCAGCGCCAGACCACATCTTGACGAGGATCTTCCGGCCCTTGATTGAGCTCCGCTTCTGTCAGGGTGGTTGACGCTTTCTTGACTTCCACCCGTACCCCAGCGGTCTCCCGTAGACAGTCCCATCCTCTGTGGACATTCTGCAGACTTCCACGGTGCCCGCCTGCTTCATGTGGTCCTTGAGCTCGCGCCAGTCGGCGAAGTAGTCTAGGCTCCCCACGTAGACTATGTTCTCCCACTCCGCAGGTTGTCGCCGCAGCCCTCTTTATAGCTCATGACGTCGTTGAGCTCTCCTCCAATTTCTGTATCTTATCCGGCGTCATCTCGTCGTCCTCCTCCGAATCGTAGCTCTCCTGCTCGGGCTCCTCGTCGCTCTCCTCGAGCTCGTCGTGACCCTCGTGCGGCGAAGCTGCTGCTGTCCCCTCTTTCATGGCGCCACTGCTGCCACGGCCGGCCCCTTTCGCAGCTGATGACGTCGGGCTCTTGCTTCGCTGTGCCTCCTTCGTAGCTGACGGCGTCAGGCTCGTGCTGCGCGTCCCCTCCGTCGTGAGTGTTGGCGTACGTCGGGCTGGCACTTAATGTTGCCACTTCAGCCTAGGTGCTGACGCTGCTGCCAGGGCCAGCCCTTTTTGCACCGCTGCCAGCCCTTCCCACACCACGCTTGCCTGGCCTTCTCGTTCCTCTGCCGGCCCTTCTCGCACCTCTGCCGGCCTTTCTCGCGCCACTGCCGGCCCTTCTCGCATCACTGCCGGCCCTTCTCGCACAATTGGCTGCCCTTCTCGCACCATTGCCGGCCATCCTCGCTCCGCTGCTGCGCTGTGTGCTGCCACTGATCCCGCGCACGCAGCTGATAGCGTCTGGCACTCTTTCTCTTCCTCACCGCCGTTTGCGCGCCACTGCCAACTCTCCTGTTCTCTGCCTGCGTGCGATTGTCTGCCGCCTCGCGAAGACGGCCTCTCGCGCACGTTCGGCCATCTCGAGGGCATCGGCATCCGAGACAACCAGCATGTTTCGCACATACGGGCTCACGCATGCAGCTGATGACGATTGGTTTTCTGTCACTCTCGCCACTGACGTTTGCTTCTGCCAACTAGTCTCGCACATGTAGGCCCGCGATTGCAGCTGATGGCATGTGGTTTTTGTTGCTCTGGCCATTGACTGTTGCCACTGCTGACCCTTCTCGCACGCACGGACCCAAGTCTGTAGCTGATGATGTCTGGGTGTTGCCCGCTGGCACCGCTGCCTGTTCTCGCGCGTGCGGTCCCACGCCTGTAGCTGAGGACGTCTGGTGAACGTGTTGTTCGCATCCGCAAGCTGCCACAGCCGACTCTTCTCGCACAGACGGGCACACGCATACGTGCAACTAGATGAGGGCTGCTAGCACTTCCCGCACAGACTGGCATACGCATGTAGCTGCTGACACTTGGTTGTTGCCATTGGTGGCCTCTCGCGCGCCCTGGTCCTGGCAGGTGGATGCGCCCTGCCCCTCCCGCGCGTAGGTTCCGCCGTCGCTTCTCGCACGCTCTGGTTCTGCCACTGCCTGACACTGCCTGCCACTGCCTTCCACCGCTGCCACTACCCGCCACTGCTGCCGCCACCGCCCCATGCTGGAAGCGCCGCTGCAGGTCTGTAGCTGGTGACTCGGCGGCAGCCTTCTCGCAGCCGCTCGGCTCTTCTTTCCCTCCAGCCTTTCGAGCCCACTCTTCTTCGTCCCAAGCCTCTTGGCCCACTCTTCTGTAGGCCCGGGCTGCCATTGCCCGCCGTCTTCTGGCACGGCAACAATCGGGATCAATTCTGCAGCGTCCGGGTCGGGTAGGAAGTCCTAGTGTTGCTACTGTTGCTGCTGCTGCTTCCCCTCCTCCCGCTTACCCTGCACACCGTACTGCTGCTGCCACCCTTCACTGGGTCTTCTGTTATCGGAATCTGGCTCTGCTGCTGCATCTTTTCTCTTCGCCAAGGCGGCAGGGATTATGGTGACGACATTCTGAACGTCTTGTCGTCCTCCCCTGCGGACTGTGTGTCCATTCCGTCTGGAAGCAGACTGTGTGGACCTCTGTGCAAGAACGGGTCTGCTGAGCCTCGCAAGGCCCGTACCCTCGCAGTCCTCCTTAGCTCCCGCGTCCGCCCGCCGTCGCCATGATGCCGTGGCGCGGCCGGAGGCGTAGGGCGCGCCGCGGGGCGGGCGCCGGCGAGTGCTGGGGCGGCAGTCCCCCGGCGGGGGGACCGCGGGTTGGGCCCCCGACGGCCCCTTCTCTCCCTGCCCTTCACGCTTGACAAGCGTTGGCTTGCTTGAGCCATGGCGTCTTGATGGCAAGGATCCGAGAAGGAAAACTGTTCGGAGCGGAGCGCTCGATGAAAGAAAGATCAGGCCCCGGGACTGCAGGAGATCTCTCCCTCCTCCTCCTCCTCCTCCTCCTTCTCATCCGTCTCCCCTCATCCTCGGCAGGCCCCGCCACAGCCTCAGGGTTCAGATGCGGCGTCAGGCGTGCATGTCAGCCCTCATGAGTCGCTGCAGTCGTTGTGGCTTCGGCATCATGCTCGGAGAGTTGGACATAACACTTGCGGCGGACGCGAGGGCAGTGCTTGCGTGCAGGACATCCGCGCGGTGTGTCGCCATCCTCCTGTCTCGTCTGTGCCTTCATCATCAGATTCACCTCCCTCTCCCTGCTCCTCTCCCTTCTGTGCTGGTCTCAGTCTTGCGTTCCAGCGGAGGTAGCCCATTGAGCACGCCTGACGGCCGTCTTGCCCGCCGGCTTCGATGCGACGAGCTCGCGCGTCTGACACCCGCATGAAGACGACCAACCCAATCCCCCCTTTTCTCCTTTCTGCTCAGTCATGAGCTCTGGAAGGGGCGGCGGGGCGAAAGTGGAACATCTCACGCAAGTCTATGGAGTAACGGCAGGGCGCGGGCACGGCAATGTGCATCATTGCGACCGTTGTTCGGCGGTCTCTGCGGTGGTATGGGGCGTCCAGAGCGCCGAGAAGGCACGAAATACATAAGATGAGCAACAATTGCTTACGTGGCTCCCAAACGATAAGCTATCAGCTGTCGCATTGTGCATGTGCGAGCTATGTGGTGCAAGCTACGAAGTGCACGCTGGGTAGCGCACGCTATGTGGTGCAAGCTATGTGGTGCAAGCTGTGTGGTGCAAGCTATGTGGTGCAATGTATGCGCTGCAAGAGACGCGGTGCAAGCTGAGCAGTGCAACGTCTTTGGTGCAGTGCACGTGGTGCAAGCTGCGCAGTGGAAGCTGCGTGGTGACATGTGAGAAGGCTACATGGTGAGAAGGCTACTTGGTGTGATGTGGGGGGGGGAAAGCTGGGGGGTGCAGGCTGCGCTGGTGCGCCAGCTGCGCGGAGCGAGCTGCGCGACCGCCCCGCGCACGAGGAGCCCACGAGCCCACGAGGCGCCCGCGGGCGGGCACCGGGCGACGTCCAGGGCCACGCCCAGCCAGGGCACGAGGCGCCCACGGGAGGCCTCCGGGCGGGCTCTCCGGGCGAAGCGCCGCTTCGCACGATGCGCCCACGGGCGGTCGCGGCCGGGCACTGGGCGGAGCCTCGGCGCACCCGTCCAGCGAGGGCGCCCACGAGGCGCCCAGCAGCCAGGCACTGGCCGAGCATCTGCCACACCCATGCAGTCGTCCAGGGGAGAATGGCAAGAGCCCCTGAGCTCAAGACTGTGAGGGGAAAGCGACTTGTGCCTCCTCCTCGTCCTCCTCCTCTTGGTCCCCGTCCTCCTCACACGTCGGCGACGCCCCTTGCCCGGCCCATGCCGGTGCAAGCTTTGGTTGCGAAACGGCTTCGTGGTGCAGGAGGGGAGGGAGGAGGGCGAGGAGGAGGATCTGGATGGGCAGGATGGGGCAGAGGTGGAGAGGGATTTGGACAAGGACGAAGAGGAGAAGGTCCTCGGAGTGCAGGCGGGCGAGGAGGATGTCAAGAGGGAGAAATGGGAAGGAAGACGAGGAAGTGGAGGGGGAGAATGAGGTTGAAGATGAGGAGGAGTAGGAGGTGTCCGAGCGAGAGCAAGAGCATGACCAGTATGAGGTGGACGCGGACGAGGAGCAGGTGGATGAGGATGTCCAGGGTCCACATCCTGCCGAGGTCGCCGAAGACCGAACCCCCAGCCAGTGGTGATGGAACACAAACGCCTCGCAAGGAGGAGGGAAGACATAAAAAGGAGGAGGACCTCGATCCTCGACTTTCCTTGCACAGAGGCCTCCGCTCTTACCCTTTCTCCCTCCTGTGTTTGGCGTTGGCCTGAAGACGCGTGTAGTTGCCGTTCCTGCTGGTTTTGTGTCGCGACAATGTTTTGGGGTCGTTCTCTCGGGCTGGGCGGTACAGCGCTGCACAGTGCAGCATCTGCCTTTACGCCTCTCGATTGGGCTTGCCGATTTGCTTCGCGATCTGTTTGTTGTTAATTCGGATCGCGATGCGAACGGCACGCGCCCGAGCTAACAGGCACAGGATCGAAACACACGCATCCATACCTACCCACCTACCTACCGACCTACCTGCATGCATACATACATGCATACATGCAGGTATGCATATATGCATACATACATACATACACACATACACACATACACGCATGCATACATACACACACAAACATACACGTACACACATACCTACCTATCAACATACCTATCTACCTACCTACCTACCTACCTAGATACATACATGCATACATACGTACATGCACGCATGCATGCATGCATACATACATACATACGTACATGCATGCATACACATATGCATGCATGCATGCATGCATGCATACATACATACATACGTACATGCATGCAAACATACATGCATACATGAACATATGCATACACTATGCATGCATACATGCATACATGCGTACACATACATACATGCATGCCTACCTGCATATATACATGTATGCATGCATACACATGCATACATACATACATATATACATGCATACATACACGCATAAACATATATGCACACATACATACATGCACATACACAGACATATGCATACATACATACATACATACATACATACATACATACATACATACATACATACATACATACGTACATACATACATACATACGTACATACATACATACATACATACAGACTTGCTGCCGCTGAGCATGTCCTCGCACAGAGGCCCCCTCGAGTCTGAGAATTGGTGGGGGCCGGCGGCCTCGTCCCCGAGCGAGATGTTCGGGCGCGAGGAGGCGGCCGCCGCGCTGGGCTGCAGCGCCGGAGAGCTAAGGCGGCGAGCCTCCTCTGGCCTCCCCCTGCCTTCTCCTCCTCGGACATTCTCGAGCCATTGGGAGCCTCCTCCCCCCGACCTCCTGCATTCCCCTTCCCCTTCCCTCGGGTCTCCTTTCCCTTCTAATAGCATTCCTCCCTCTTCGTTCGCTCCTCATGCTAATCCTTCATCCTCCTCGAGCCTCCTCCTCCTGCTCCTCCTCCTTCCCCTCCTCCTTCTCCTTCCCCGCTCTCCCTCCTCTTTCCCCCTTCTCGCCGTCGTCGTCGTCATCCTCCTCTCACCTCCTCCCTCCTCTTACTGCCCTTTCTCTTCCTATTCCCTCCTTCTGAGGCTACCTGCAGACGAACTATGGTGGAACAGCATGGAAAACAATATAATGTTATAGTTGGCGATGTTGTTTGGTATCCCAGGCCCTTGCTGGAGAGTTCCTTCATTACCGATTCGGAACTTCTCAGATTATCTTGGGGCTCTTGAAGGACCCCTGAGGTTCTCTGCAGGGTCCGCGCCGAATTGCGGAGATCGCCTTTTGAAGAGTTTAGCGCATTCACAAGACATCGGCATTCCAACAGGTGCCCCGCGGTGTTGGTTTCCCTCGATGGCCCTAGGGACCCACAGAAGCTCTGGGGCACCTTAGGACCCTCTAGGGTCGACGAAGACTGTAATCCAAGACTTCTGATAGCTAGGTTCATTACCACATGTGTATACTGCTTTTCAGCAGGCAACAGGCCCTAGAAATCCTCCGCGTTTGCCCTGGGTGCATCCCCTCTGCGTCGCTGCAACTTCTCAAAGGTATTGGCGCAGGCCGAAGCGCTTCATTAAAGTAAGAGGACTACGGTAGGTTCCCCGACGTTGCTCCATGGGCACCAGCCTGCGCTTAGGCCCTGCCGTCCAGTCTTCTGCTGGCCGCTTCCTTATGGCAGCCAGTGCGAAAGATCATAATGGAACTATAGGAGTGTATAGGGAGAGAGAGAGAGAGAGAGAGAGAGAGAGAGAAAGAAGACAAGAGAGAGAGAGAGAAAGCGCGCGCGCGCGCAACACACCATTCACATACGTTTGTACACATATGCACATACGTACACACACCTGTGGAAGGGCAAGAAAGGCAGATGGAGAGATATACACCAAAATGGAGCGAACGAGGGCGAGAACGAGAGACAGAAGGAGAGAGAGAGAGAGAGATAAAGAGCGACGTGCGTGCATATCTATATTCACAGAATGAGAGAGCGAGAGAAAGATAAAGAGAGAGAGAGAGAGAGAAGAGAGAAGACAACGAAGGACGAGGCGACCAGCGAGAGAGAGAGAGAGAGAAAGAGAGAGAGGGAAAGCGTCGAAGAAAGAGAGACACGCAGAGGGGTTTTGGGAGATGAAGAGGATTAGATGGGTGGAAGCAGGGGAAGGGGGATAGGGGGAGAGCAGGAGGGGAACGAGGGCGAGTGGCGAATGGCAGCCCCGTCCAGGCAGCTGCTGGACCTGCTCGCCCGCTGCGCCGGCGCCGAAGACAGGGAGGACGACCCGGCCGCCGAGAGAGAGCGCGCGGCGCTGCGGGCGGCCATCCTGGCCAGGCGCCTGTCGCGGTCGGGAGGGCGGACGGGCCGAGGCGGGGGGGCGGGCGGGAGAAGGGCCAGGAACGAGGACGGCCCCTCGTGCTGTCAACGTCCCGTCGCTTGCTGGACGTGCTGCGTCCGGCTGGCGGAGCTCGGCCCACTGGGCGCGCCGCGCTGCAGGAGGGCCGCCACCCTGCCTCCCTCGAGTCCGTGTCGTGGCGTCCTCCTCCTCCTTGTCGTCCTCGTCGTTGTCCTCCTCTTCCGTCCAGCCCGCGCCCACCAGGCCGACCGTTGGACGTCTTCCCCGCTCCTCGCTGCCGCTGCTGCCCCGTCTGCAGCCAGTGCCCCCTTCCTCCGCCTCCTCCTCCTCCGCCCCCTCCTCCTCCTCCTCCTCGCTGCCGTTGCTGCCCCTCCTCCTCCTCCTCCGCCTCCGCCCGCCTCCTCCTCCCCTGCCCCACAGGGACGTGACATCTCACACTCAGCCACGCGCGGAAGTGCGAGGGGCGGCGAACCGAGCCCGTCACACCACGGGGCACGGCGCGAGCCAGGTGCCGAGCTGGTCGGGGCAGACTCCCGAGGCACTCGTCCGTCTCTCACTCGCCCAGGGCTCGCGAGACACTCGGGAGGGGAAACTGATAATCTGAATGACACCCCGCCGTTGGGAGCCCGTCCGCGTACTACTCCTCGGTTCTCGTTCGAAGGCTAGGCTTCATGATTCTTCAGCAGCAGTACGCCGATGGCTTCCTCACGGCGGCGTGTACACGTTACCGTTGAGAGCCCGTCTGCAAGTTATTGCTTCGCTTTTGTCCAGCACCCTTGGCGTTTCTTCAGCAGTGTTTTGCTGATGGTTTCCCCACGGCGGCGTGTACACGCTGCCGTTGGGAGCCCGCCGCCATGGTACAGCGTAGTTATCCTGCCACGCAGCCGCCCGCGCCGCAGAGCCGCGCACGCCGACAGCTCGTCGCGGGGTGCTCGTGGGCAGGAGCGCCGCGCTTGTGGGGCGGCCGGCTCCGCCGGGCTCGGCTCTGCAGGCGCAGGCTGTAGGCGGGGTGATGCAGTGGAGGGCGAGGGTGACGTCGGGCAGGAGAGCCAGGAGGGCGAGGCCGCGCAGGAGAAAGCGACGGGGACGACGAGCAAACGAGCCGGGCGTCGCAGGCGCGGGAGCAAGCGTGCGGACGAAGCCGAGGCCGAAGGGACAACCGGCGTCGTAAGCAGTGACCTCCCGAGGTCCGCGCGGGCTGCCTGTCTCGGCGCCGGGCGCCCCCTGGCCGCTCCTCCCGCGCCGACCCCGGAGATCCGCGGGGACCTCCGAAGGCTGAGAAGTACGCTGTTGGTGAGTGATCCAAGAAGGGAAGGAGGAGGGCGAGGCAGACAGAGCAGGAGGAGGACGAGACGACGACGAGTACGAGGCTGATGGGGAGCGGGCCTGCCGTACCAGCAAGCGGAAGGAGCAGCCATACCAAATACCAGAATATGACCATCATCGCCGCGCCAGAAGAGGACGACGACGGCGGCTACCCTGACACGTCGATTCAAGAATTGGCCGTTTTCGGTTCGCGAGAGGTCGTCGCGGCCGTCATTCTTGCGGGTCCAGGTCCGTCGGTTTCGGTCCCAGGCCGTTCTCACTGAGGGGAGGTCTACTAAAGGGAGGCTTGTCCACCGCCGAAGAATTACGAGGAGGCCGACGAAGAGATAGAGAGAGAGAGAGAGAGGGACCAGACCTGCAGTGGCAGGAGGGGTAGCGGTTCATTGCGGTGGTACTACGTGGGCACTCTGGGTTTGCTCAGACACGCGCATTCGGAATTCCAGCGGCTCAGAGATATAGCGGCTGCTAGCACTCCGGGGGGGTCGCGGTTGCCAGGTGCCGACTTATGCGAGGGCTACCCGCTGCGAAGGACATCCCCCCTCCTAGCCGGGGCGGGCCGCCTCGTTGCGATGGTAGTATTTAGCTTTGCGCCGCGCTGACGCGGCGTCGACCCAAACGGGGCCGTGCACGGTTTGACGCCAGGAGCATTCTCGGATGATCTGCGCCATCGAAAAAGCCGCGATTGTTCAAGGTTGAGCGGTGCTCGCGGCGTCAGAATCCAATGCCCAGGTCGCCATTCCGAGATGAGCAAATGCCTCCGATGGTTGGTAACCAGATCTCGCGGGGCCCGATACTATGTTTTCAATCACGCGCGCCAGGCGGCGGCGCACGCCCGCGCCATGGACGAGCACAATCGGTGCAGACACGAGCGGGAGCGAACCTGCAAAACGCAGCGCAGTGCGTGTGCGAGCGCCGCGCAGGGAGTGCCCCCCTATTCCTCCTGCGCTCCGCGGCCTCCTTCCCTTCCGTCCCCTTTCTTCTCTCTTGCTGCCAGACAGAAGGAGCCGTCCTCCTCCTCCTCCTCCTCCTCCTCCTCCTCCTCCTCCTCCCCGAGCCCGGCCCACGGGGGCGCGCGTGTGGATCGCCGCTTGCCGCGCTGCGGCGGGACAACAATGCGAGCGCCGCGCATGCGCGCGCCCTGTCCCAAGGTCCAGCGAATTATCTTTGTGAGCCCTGCGCTGCGCGGTGCTGCCCGCTGCATTGGTCTTGCGAGGGTGCGCCGCTCGAGGCCAGCGGCTGCATGGGCTGTGTCCCTCTTCGATTTGCCCTGGCCTCGATAGGTTGTCGGGCCTTCGTCGCCCCCCTGCGTCGCCTGTCGGCCTCCAGCCAGCGACCCCGTGCTGGCTGTAATCACTGGCGCCTCCGTGTTGGGCTTCCATTTGGCCTGCGCCCCGCCGCGGCTCGCGTGTGGTTGCCGTCGTCGCGACTGACGAACTGCTTGAAGGTTCACTGCTTCACCATTTCACGGTCTCACGCCAGCACGCTGACGCTGGCATGCACCAAATAGTGCGACCCTGACACGTGTGCTGTTTCAGCGAGCCCAGCTGCCCTCCAAGGGCCTGGCCACGGGCGATTCCCACATCGCGGCGTCTGTGCACAGTGTGGCATTGTCGTGTTCTGTCAGAGATACAGGGTTTTAGCAGGCGTGCGTGTGTGGTATCTGTGCTTATCTTGTTTGTTACAGCAGAGCATGCGTACACAGGGCGCCCTTTTAGGATCAAGGGTATTAAAGCATCCTTATCATCGATCCCCGCCCGCCTGGGCGGACTCTCATGGTAAGCGGACCCTGATCGTTCCGGGACCTGCGCATCATAGGCCGCTGGGCTGGGCCGCCGCGCCCGGGTGCCCCGCGGCAGGCGACGGCCGCAGCCGCCGCCAGAGGTCGCCGAACCTCTTCTCCGCCGCCGCGGTCACCACCGCGGCAGTCGTGTCAGCCCACGACGACGAGCCCTCCGCCGAGCCGGCCGAGGGCACCATCCTTTGCAACAACGCTGCTGCTGCTGATCATTCCCATCCTCACGAAGAAGATGTCCATCGAGCTGGACAGGAATGGAGCCCCTCAGTATGCAGGCCAGCCAGAGTATTTCAATGAATACGAAGAGCGAGCCTGGGATCTCTATCGTGGCAGGACTGGCGAGAAGTCTAAGCAGGCCGCAACGGCGCTGCATCTACGATCAGGCCTTTCTGGTCCAGCCTACGAAGCAGTGCGCAAGCTCAAACATGAAGAGCTGATAGGTACTGATGAGTCTGGAGAATCAAGGCAGGACGGGCTCACTCTTTTCTTCACGACGTTGAAGAAAGAAGTTCAAGATATTGCGCCCGTCCGGAGCACCGAGATCTTCGACAAGGCTTTGTACGGATCATCGGTCTGGCGCGACCGCAACGAGTCCATGGCCAACTACGTGACAAGGAGGCGAAAGGAGTTCGCAGAGCTGCAGGAGGTCAGCGCCACGACTACGATCTCAGAGGATATCCAGGCCGCACTGATCCTCAGATTCTGCGGCATCAGCATGAAGGAGCAAGCCGCAGTCCTCGCCTCCAACAAGAATGAGTACAAGCTAGCCGGCATCGAGTATGCACTGCGGGCTCAGTACCCAGCGGTACATCGACAGCAGGACCGACGCGCTGATCGCCGAGAGCGATCCGCCTACGCTTACGCCGCGTCGGAGCAGGACCAGAACCAGTCAGAGCTCGATCACATCTATTACGAGGACGAGGACGAGGACGGCTACTACCAGGGCGAGGAGGACGACTATGAGCACGGCGAGGACGACGAGTTCGACATCGAGAACTACGTCGCGGAGAACCTCGACGAGCTTGGCACCGAGGAGGCAGAGGCCCTCGCCCTCGTTCTGCAGAGCCGCAACAAGATCTTCAACAAGAAGAAGCCGCCTAGGCGAGTGACTTCGAGCTTCCACGGTCGTGGCAAGGCCGGTGGAAGGGGAGGCCGCCGGGGAGGCGGCAAGGGATTGACAACCAGGTCGCCCGCAGGGCGAGGAGGCAGCAGCAGTTCGAGTAGTGTTGTCCCTGGCGACGCCGACCGAGAGCGAGATGCTCGCCGGCAGCACATCGCCAACCTGAAGAAGCGGACCCAGTGCTCCGACTGCCACCAGTTCGGGCATTGGCAGGGCGATGATGTTTGCCCCCGTCGGTCGAGCCGGAAGCCTACACCAGTGTCTCCAGCGAAGAAGCCCGCTCAGAGTTACTTCGCGCTCGAGGAGCACGGGGACAACGACGACGACAGCGAGCCGTCCGAGGTCTTCATGGTTCTGAAGGGCGAGATGGAGCACGTCTGCGAGCGCGCGGCCGACGACGCCTGCGAGAAGGTCGTCCGCGGCGCCAACAAGACCACCAGGTGCATCACATGCAGGGAGTGCGACCGCCACTTCACGCTCGCACACCGCAAAAAAAAAGGGTTCGAGCTGTGGAGCTACTTCACGAAGGCCCTGATGGGCACGAAGTGGGGCCGCTTCCTGTCCCGCAAGGAGCTCGCGAGGCGGATTGCCTTGGTGGCCGACACCCTGATGGTCCAGGGTCGCCTCCCATCTACGTATCGGAGGCGGACGGGGGCGCCCGCGGCGCGACGCCTTTCCGACAAGCAGCGGCTATTCGGCCGGCTGCCTGCAAGAGGCGACGGACCACGTGCACCTACACCGGCGGC